TTTCATGGATATTTTTCTTTCCTTCAAATTTTAGAGCATTTGTCTTCTACAAATAGCAATTTGTTGTCTTGGATTTCAAAATAGACATTCATCTTTAGGACTCATGTATGTATTAATGAAGGAGCACTTTGAAACCCGAAGACAGGAAAATGCGTTTTGGGGGATATAAATGAGATGAAATCTTACTAAAAGGGGAATCTTCAGAAAACTTAAACCACAGTTCATAATATGTTTAATGGTGAAACATTTTTAACAAATACCACTACCATTGCATAGTTTGATCTAATAGAGTCTTCTTGTTTATCATATTTGGATAATTCATTTTTTAAATTTTCCTGGAGATATTTTTTATGATCAAATTTCAGAGCAAATGATTTCTTTCTGTGAAAAACATCTTCAGGAATTTAAAAAATGAATCACACTATTACTTTGACATTGGACGTTGTTAGTGGCCGACATCAACATGTTTCATCAATAGGTGAATATGATGTGCAGTGGAACTCTTGTTCAAGTTTACATACAAAATGACGTTGAATAATTACATAATCCAACGTCAATTACCTTTGAGGATAAAAAGAAATCCATTATTACAAAATCTATGCTCAAAAATGAAAATTAAACCAACAAAAGAAGCAGAGGTTATATAAAATGGAGAAGCTGTTTGAAATCCAGATTTGTTAACTCTATGAAACCGTCAAGGTTCACAAAAATTATTCATAATGACGATGAATCAACTACAAAGAAATGTATTGCTTTTGTGAACTTGAAGGAGTTAATAGAAATTCAGAGACAAAGAGTTAACAATATAATTGTTGGTTACAAAAGCTCTTTAAGGAAGCGAAATTTTGGTGAATAGAGGTGTAGGGTTTTCAAAAGATCCGAACACTCTTTTGAAAGTGAAACTATGGGGAATATAAGGAGCGTTTCGTATTCATTTATTTTGGTATGGACGTCTGTTGTTACTTAAACATACGTTATATGTTTACTCAGGGTACAATTTAACGTAGTTTTGGTATGTGGTTAGACGTCATTAATTTAATAATGTCATATAGTAGACCTAACATACATCTGGGTTATTGCATTTATTTACAACAATTTCAACGGTCATTTTTAACATTGACTTTTTCGTTTTCTGACGTTGAACTCTAGACATTGTAACCTTATTTTGCACCATTGAGTAATTCTCGACTTTTTCAAGCATTCAGAGTGGTCCTAATTTTTGTAATTTTTGTTCAATTTAGTCCTTTTCTATGATGACTCTAAATCGGTAATGACATAATGTTCACATGAGCCATTACTGAATGAGGTGTAACTTTTTTTTTTATACGTGACAATTGTCCAATGAGGGACTACCACATGGTAGTTTAATTTTCAACCAAAAATTAGGGTTTTACTATGGTGGAGGTTATTATTTGGAGATGGAGGTGTGAGAGGTCGCGACATGTGCTTTGTTCGTGATTTTGTTCCGGTGTAGTGGCTCTGTGCAATTTAGGTTATGTTTTTTTTTTATTTTACAAGTTTGATATTTGGGACTACAGGTTCTAACACGTGGAGAAGATCTCACAACCTAAGGTTTGCGATTTGTGATTTCATAGTGCTCTCGAACTACTATGATGGTTGTCATAGTGGTTAATGAAGGTTTCCCATTTTCACGTTCTCTGGGTGGAAAAAGGCTTGTAGTGGTTGCTACTCGTTAATTTGCGAGGTTGAAGAAGATCATAGTGGTGGGTTTTGATGACAGACGTCTTTCGCTGTGGTTTAATGATGTTGTGGTTCTTCTAATATAGTGGCTAGATTTTTGGGTGATGAGAGGTTGAAGATGATGATGCGACCACATTCAATTACCACGTTTTCATGTCAGCCTTTGTTTAAGTTGTCATTGTCGCAACCAGAATCGCAACGAGCATGACAACGAGACTCTTAAAAAATGTGATTTCAAAATTTTGAAAATCAGAGTTCAGAGTGGCTACCATAGTTTATTCTGGAAAACCATAAAAGTAAGGCATGGTCTAAGAAATCAGAGTTTTGAGTTCGGGAGTTGGTTACGCGTAGGGAAGGTGTTAGCACTCCTACAACGCCTGGCTAAAAGCGGTACCTTTAATTAAACGTGCAAAGTTGATGTGATTTTTAAAATGGTTATTTTCCCCGAAACTAACAGTACAAGACAATACAAATGAAAGAAAAATGTTTTTGGAAAGTTGAGAAGTTGTTTGGAAAATTGAGAAGTTGTTTGGAAAATTGTTTGAAAATGATTAAGGATAATTTTGGATATTTTGGAAATGAACCTTACAAGGCATTGCCTTGCTCCTACGTATCTCCATTTTTTATGGAGAATCAAGGATCACGTAGTTTTGACTCGTTGTCATTTGAAAAAAAGTTTATATTTTTATATTTTGGAGTTTTTTTATTTTTTTGTTATTTCGGAAGAAAAAACAATATCATGATCAAATCAATAAGCTCGACACACCGTTGGAAGATAAAATTATTTTTGATTATTTTTTTTGAAGGTTTTGTGTTTTTTATGATTTTTGAATTGATTATAAAAATTAAGATGCAAAAGATAAATCACACCAATATTTACACTTATTTGTAATGAAAACATTTTTATATATTTTTAATTTAATTATCAAATAAATTCAAGACTTGACATGATAAAAATTATTTTTAATTATTATGAAAAGTTCAATTGTTAAACAAATTTGAAACTTAACATCACAACAAAAATTATTTTGAAAAGGTGATTATCAAATAAGTTCGAAACCTGATATGATAATCCATATTTTTTAATTATTATAAAAAACTTAATTACCAAGTAAGTTCAAGATTTAACATGATAAAAAACAATAACAATAAATTTTAGAATTAACTAGATTCACAACTGTACATTAACAATAAAATAAACGATCAAGAGTGTGTGCGATGAGCAAATAAGATGTGTGCATGTGAACAATTAATATGAGTATGCATATGAACAATTAAAATATGTATGCATGCGAACAATTAAGATGTGTGTACATGTGACCAATTAAAATGTAACAAATACAATCAAACCACCACAAAATAAAACACAGGAGTGTGGGGTTAACAATTATGGGTATAAACTGAAAATAAATAAAAATAAAATCCAAAGAATAATAGGTGAAAACAGAAAAAACCAGAGGTGCACGAAGTTTGGTCCAACCAATGAAGACTGTGGTGAAAAGACTGAAATCAGATGGTGCACAAAGACTTGGCTTCAACACTTCCATTCTGACAGCTTCAGCACTTCCTTCCTTCCGACCATTGCTGAATATTTCATTGATAACTTTTTCTACAAAACTCCAAATGTAATGAAACTTTTTTCCATAGAAATTAGACTCAGAGAGCTTTCATTTGATAGCGCACACATAATTTTTGAACCTCTGTACTAGCTGCAGTTTAAACTCGAAATCAGGTTTTGAAATTTCGTTTCTGGCACTGACCTTTGGTCACTGTTTTGATTATATCTTTTTCCATAGAACTTCAAATGCGATGAGACTTTTTGGGTTAGAATCTAGACTCAAAGGGCGTTCATTTGAGTACTCACACATAGTTTTTTGGACATCTGAGTTAGGTGCAGTACGATTTCGAAATCAGGCTTTGCAGTTTCGTTTCTGGCACTGACCTTGGCTCACTGTTGTGCTCATATATTTTTCCATAGAACTCTAAATGCAATGAAACTTTTTGGGTTAGAATCTAGACTCAAAGGCCTTTCATTTGAATACTCACATATTTTTTGGAGATCTGAGTTAGGTGCAGTATGATTTTGAAAAACACGAGTTGTGAAAGGATTTCATCAGTGTCACGGTTATGACGATGGAAATCAATTTTGTGGATGAAACATGTTGAAGATGGTTTGCTGAATGATGTAAGGAATATGGAGAGTGTGGAGGAGGAAAGAGGTTGAAAGCAATTGGGTTTGGTGTTAGAAGACCTATTTTCAATTTCTCGGATATGCTAGAATGGATGACGGGTTTCCCTCATGTTCTTCGTTGTGATGGCCTCGGTAGTAGGCATTGTTCTGTTTGTGACCATTAGTTCAGAGGGAAAGCTAGAGAGGAGGAATCAAATCAGACTTGAAAGAGTGTTAGGTATGTAAAATGTCGGTCATTTTGATTGGCTCAAGATGTAGTGGGTTGGTCGGAAAATTTGCAGTGTCTATCATTGGAGGGTTTTGCTGGAAAATGTTACCAACATCATTAGTAAATTTATCTTGATAATTATCTCTACAAATTAGATCCAATCAAGTAAAGAGAAATCCAATATTTACGATAAATAACATTGTCTACAAAGTAATTAATACAACGTACTTCATGAGCGTCCTATTATCTTTACACACATAATCTCTAAGCAGACCAGTATGGGTGACTTTTCAAATTTGAAAGCTCGACATAATTTGAAGTGTTTGTAAAGAAGTGAAGCCTGTAAAATATATTTGACTTTACTAAAATAAATCATTAAAAATAAAATACAAAATCTTAAATAAAACTTAGATCATAAAAATATCCTTTTAGAAAAATATGTATTTATTTCAATAATCAAATAAAATATTAATAAAATTCTAAATTTTATAAAACCCTTATATTAATATAAAAAAATATCTTAAAAATATAACTCACGATTAATAATAAAACCTTATAATAAATATTGTCAGAGAGAACGTCATAGGTGTCCAATTTAACATCACATATTTTAAGCGTCTGACTTCGTCCACCAATGACCAAACTTACCACCTGGTACAGAATTTAATTCAGGGTTACCGTACGGACCAAAGTCTCAGTTATTAAAGCCCTAAAATTCAATAACTACAGAAAAAATCCAACAAAAAAGCTGAAAACTGCGTAAAAACAATCTTACGGACTAATATTTTGAAGAATCCAACTTTTAGATTGGTCAAAAATTTGATTTATCGAATTCACAGGTTGGCCTACATGAACATGCAGTTACAGGAAGATAGGGATTGAAATTGATTGGCTTTTACTTTCTGTCCTTATATCAGTCCTCGGCTCACCAGGAAAGTTGTAGAAGGTAGCTCCAGCTATAAAGCATGAGAGTGATGAGAGAAAAGGTTGAGAAAAGAGCATAAAAAAATGGGAAAGTTGAAGTCAAGTGTCATTTCATCAGATTTGGTTCACCGTGGTATTCTACTTTTCCTACTTCTTTTATCACTCTATTCCATTGAACCAGCGTCTTGTGCCTCCAGAGTGAAGTTCCTTCCAGGATTCGAGGGACCCCTTCCTTTTGTTCTTGAAACTGGGTAAGTTAAATTCTTAGTGCTAACTACTAATCCTATATACGGTTTAAGTTTTGGGTTATGAGATGGAAAGCATTTGGTTGAAACTGATGAAACTAAAGGTATGTGGGAGTGGGAGTGGGAGTGGGAGTGGGAGAATCAGAGGATGTGCAGACATTTTACTACTTCATTGAGTCAGATAACAACCCCAAGGAAGATCCTCTCCTGCTTTGGCTATCCGGTGGCCCTGGTTGCTCAGGCCTAAGTGCCCTTTTTCTTGAAATAGGTAACACACCGTTTATTTTCCTTTTCATTTTGCGCTTAGGATGAGAAAAAAACAATGTTTACTCTGTATGGGTGATACAGGTCCACTTGCATTAAAACAGGAGGAGTACAATGGAGGTCCACCCAACTTGATCTTCAGGAATCAATCATGGAACAAGGTGCTAGTCTACATTATCATCAAATTACACTAAAGAAAACATTTCTCCTCATATATTTAAAAAAGGAAAAATACATTTTCTGCTTTCAAATTCGGTCTTTCTTATGGTTTTTTGTCCTCTTGGTAGGTTAGTAACATTATATATGTAGACTTGCCTGTTTTCACAGGCTTTACTTATGCCACAACAGAACTTGCTGCTCAAA